GATGATGATGATGATGATGATGATGATGATGATGATGTTAACCTTGTCAAAATTTCATGATTACAAGCAATGTTCTGACGGCAAAGTGGAAGTAGTGATAATATCCTTCTAGGCCTGGATAACTTTTCATTATTGTTGCTGCTGCTTATTCAGTTTAATATTTGAATGGTGTCTGTTTTTGCATGGATATAGGCGAAGTCTGGAAGTTTTAGCCAAAACATAGAATTATTGAATCTGCTTCCTAAGAGGGGCCCCAAAGCCTTTTCAGCCTTTTGTGAAGCTTTACGAGAAACTAAACAACAGCACTTGGAGGAAATGCTCCTGACTGCTGTCCCCTGCCGTAGGACTGAGGTTGTAGAGGTAAGGAAAGATAAAATATAAAATTAGGGACCATGTTTAGCATTAATGATTTCATATTGCCCTTTCATGTAACTATACAATATCAGTGTGTGATATTTTGAGTCCCCCTTGATCACTGTGTATTCAGCTCCCTAAACTTAGAAAGCTAGTATGTCATGGAGAAGACTTTTGGCTTAGTTTTTGTTATAAATGGTTAGTTTTACAAGCAGAGGGAGATTTAGATCTCATTGTATCTTCAGGCAAACACGTTCTAGAACTGATAATATTGCATTAAGACTATATGCACACACTTCTTCTTGCTCTTAGGCCATTTCTCTCATATTTTGAGAAATATTTACCAGGAAAAATATTCACCAGGAATTGCTATGAAGCTCACTATGGTGATTGTAAGGTTAAAAGTGACAGAACCTTATTTCAGCCCTCCTTACTTGTATATTGGCTTAGTATGAATTTATAATTAATAGATTTAAGAAATTTAATTTTGCTCCTAACTTCATAAAAGTGGAAACAAGTCAAATGAAGTAGGGATGCTTTTTAATTCTTCTTGTAGTAAATCTATAATACACTTAGCCTTATCAGGACAAATCTGCCCCAGACAGAGCTAAAATGCTACAGGATGAACATTTTCATCCTGCTAGGAACAGAGAGAGAGCAACATTAGTAGTAGTAGTAATAATAATAATTTATTAAATTGATATGCTGCCTGATTCCCAGTGGCTCTGAGTGGTTTGCAGTTGTTAAAACATTTAAAAGACAAAGAACAATACAGAAGCACATGACAATGATGGCAGAGGGGAACAGAAAGGAAGAAAGGGGCATCAGTTATCCTCTCTAAAGGCTGGTCTTTAAGGTCCTTCGAAATCCCAGTAGGGTGGAAGCTGTTCAAATTTTGGAGGGAACCTCATTCCAGAGGATAGGTGCTGCTATTGAGAAGGCGTGCTTCCGGGTCCCAATAGGTGGCATTGTTTAATTGATGGAACCTGGAGCATGTCAACCCTGCCAGATCAAACCTGTCAGGCAGTTATTATGGGAGACAGGTGGTCCCTTAAGTAACCAAGCCCTGTGCCATGTAGGGCTTTATAGGTAGTGACCAGCACCTTGAATTGCATCCAGAAGCAAACTGGCAACCAGTGCAGCTCGTGAAGCAGAGGTGATACATGGGCATATTGAGGCACGCCCATCACTGCCCATGCTGCTGATTCTGGACCAGCTGAAGCTTGCGGGTAGCCTTCAAGGGCAGCCCCATGTAGAGCCCATTGCAGTAGTCAAGCTGTGAGGTAACCAGGGCATGAGTGACTGCCTGAAGGGCCCCCCAATCTAGGAAAGGGTGCAACTGGTGCACCAGAAGAATAGTAGAAGAATATGCAAGGCCCTTGAAGAATGATACATATCCATATCACTTACAGTACAAGAAGCCTCTTCAATATCCCATAGAACTCTTCAATCAAATATAAAAGCTCTTTTGAAAATTTGCACTAACTATGAGAAGAGGACTT